CTGGAAAGCTCAGCAGAGCATGGATTTTGCAGAAATAGAAGTTCTAGAAGAATTATTATATTACTAGGAGAATTAATGTTGAATGGAAGTTTCACTTTGGAAGATTTTTCATGCTGGTGGGGGGTGGGGTGGAAGATGATAGTGAAGACATTTTTAAAAGCAGAGCTGTGTTTGGTTCTAAGATTTAAAAAAAAAAAAAAAGAAAATAAAAGAAAGGAAGATAACAAAACCATAGAGGGAAGATGAAGAGATGTGCCAAGAAGCAGCCAAAAATTAAGATAGGAAAAAGAGGTGAGTCATCATTCTGGAGTAGGATAGTATACCATTCCCCCCCATATTTAAGCCTCTTACAGAATTGTGGAGCTTAAACAGTCTGTCAGAGAGCGAGCAAAGGAATAATACTTTTTGTGGGAAATCTATGCTATGAAAGGTCTCTAGGACCTGGCAAATAACTGATAGCCTACAAGAACATATATGGAAACATAACCACAGAAAAAAGATCCGAAACTAAATTCTTCTGGAAAGAATGTTATTTAATTAAAAAGAAAAAATCACTGTATATTTATAATATCTTTTAATCTTTAAGCTTTTGTGATTTATGCTTTGGAGCTTTTTGCATGTCTATGAAAGACTGGAAAGTTCTTCCTGTAGAGTGTAGACAATGTTGCAAATTTCTTTGTTCAATGGAAAACCAGTCGGTAACAGGCTTTGTAGTGTATTAGTTATGTGAATTCTGTTACCTAAATTTCAAATTGTTTCAAAACAATTATATCAGCATAGTCACCAGTGCTGTCAACACAAAGGTAGCTGTAACTGCAGATCATCTTGGTTGGTGTTTGACTGTGAAACTACATTACCAGCCACTTGCATGCCCTCTCTGCCTGCTGACTTAGGGTGATCCTGTCACCGAGAGTGGTCTGATGGTGAAAGACTTCATTTGTGGGGTTAAATTTGTATCTCTTGGACCTACAGTAGAAGCTGGAGGTACTTGGATCTGTGGTTCTGAGTCAGTGGAAGTGACACAAAGAGTAAGAGTTGATGATAGCTCATGAAGTTTTAGCTATTAGCCAGGAGGTTTTAGTAACTAAAACACAAGTGGTTTTAGTTGTTAGTTCAGTACCTATTAGTATTAGCTATTAGTTCAGTACCGAGTTAATAGCAAGCACAACAACAGCGGTACTATGAAGAGGTTTTGTGCCACCTAAACTTGCAGAGTACCACAATGGTTGAAAAATCTCCAGCTGTCCCACTGGCATTTTCTTTCAGTGTATTTTTGCCGTTTCCATCGCTGGCTGCATGAGTCAAAGCTGCTGTGCTGCTGATGCTGTCCCATCCATGCCTAGGGAATTCTTGGTGCTGCCCGTCAATGCCATCCGTCATGCTGGGGAAACGCAGCATTGATGCTGAGGTTGTCTCTTGTGCGATGTGAATACACACAAAGAAAAAGTGTACAGACAGGGAGTATCTTGCACTAAAGTTTCTTTCACAGTCAGAGAATGAAGGGGCAAATTGTTCTGCCTCGTCGTGCTGTTAAGATTTAGATGTTCCTATTCACTCATGTCTAGTTCCTCTTGCTATTCTCAATCTCTTTTTTGTTTTCATTTGTGGTAATAAAGGCAGAGCTCTGTGTGTCCAGAAACCAGTAACTGGGGTACTGCTTATGGGACTAATCGCTGATGGCTGCTTGAGTTTGGATGAGTTTGGCTTGGAGACTGGAGTACCATTGCTGGTCAGTGCCCTTCGACACCAAACAATGGGAGATGACAAAAAAATAAGTGTTCTCTGAGGTCCCGTCCCCCTCCATTTCAGACATGACACAGTCTTTTTGGGGAAAGAGATACAGTTTCTTTGAAAATGCCTGCTGCTTCCCTGCTCTTTTCTGTTAAAAGCTAGTCATTTCTCAGTTGCAGTATCACAGTGTATAGGGCCATGTGTAAGACTTACTACCCAGGAAAAATTTCAGTAAGTCTTTAGCTATATATCTTAGAGCTGCAAGTTTGCACATGAGATGTGGGCAAGAGTCCCTCTCATTTGGGTGCAGCTGGTTTGCCCAGAATTTCACGCCGTATTGCCATGATACCACTTCTTCAGTGACCTGATGCATTTTTAGTAGAAATGTTCTCAGCAGTGGTCTAATGTAAAATAGAAATTAAATTTTTCAGATCTTTTAGTGGGTTCTTTTTCTCTCCACAAGACATCAAGTTTCTCTCTTTCAGGACTGCTGTTCCTTCAGGGACTGCTCCTCAGCTGCTCATCCCTTTCACATATCAGCAGAAATGCAGGCAGCCATCAAGCAGGGAGATTACTGTCGGAGAATCACAGGTTTAGACAGCTTTACCCTTTTTATCATAAGGATTTTTCAGTGTGCTCATTGTCTAAAATATTGCCTTAGACTTTTAGCTGTCAGCCTCTATTAACCAGGTAACTTTTTTTCACCTATATCCAGACTGGAAGTTAAACTGGGGGAGGAAGGCAGAATGGGCATCATGTTTGTTTTTCTCTTATACTTAGCAAACTCAGGTTAAAAAAAAAATGAATAAGATAAAAACAAGGTCGTAATACTAATTTTTATTCTTACTAGTATATAATGAGAATGTAATACAGGTTAGCTTACAAAACCTGTGTTTTTGCAGTAATAGAAGGTCTTATGGAAATTTAGAAATGCTATAACAAATTCTAAAATTGGATTTTTTAATAAGGGAAATTAGTGCACGCACACATAGGCTGATGAGACTTACGTGATTAATTTTGTTGATAGATGACTGACCTTATCCATCTTAGTAATAGAACGAAATTGGATAAAGTTTGTAGTAGAATTGGATTATCTTACTCATAAATTGTCAATACATGAAAACTCCTAACCAGATTTTCTCTTAAAAAGGAAAAAGCTATCTGTCATGCCTTAGCTGCCTATGGAGCTATTTCAAGCCTCAGATTTAATAAATATGTTGCATTGAATGTATTTAATAAAGCTTTGCAAGTTAGTTAGAGTTCTGGTTATAGCTGACACAAATTCCCAAGTCCCCTGCAGATGAAAGGAAATTACTGTTTCTTAGGCAACCAAAGTTACTATTAATTTACCTTCAGAATTATTATCTTGCTGTTTAAAAGTACTTATCAAATTTTCACTTCATACCAAGTAGCACTTACTAAGATTATTGGCAATTTCACTCCTGCTGTAACCATAGACAGCACTAGACATTCTTGTTTAAGGTTAACCTCTTTCTTTTTTTTTTTTTTTTCCAGATAACTCTCCACTGTTTGGCTCATTTTATTTTGTAGGGTTTTTTTAAGGATGAGTTTGATGGAAATAATTTTTCAGTATATTTTGATGAATTAATTTTTGAATCAGATTTTGCCTTTCATTCACCAACCTAAAATAGCTGGTTGAGAGCTCAGGCTTGTAGCACTTACCTATGCATCCCTTCTCATGATGAGTCTATAACATTATTTTATTACAAATAAAAGTTAAATAAATAAATAACTTAATTTATTCCTTCATTTTTATTGAGTGCTAATGCAACATTAATACTGTAGAATCAAGTACTCAAAAGAAGTCTGTCAAACAGGCAGAACACTCATCCTTTCCTTTTCTGCCTTCTGTGTGCACAGAAAATGATTTCACTAGTGTTAACTAGCAATAGTCAAACAATGTATATCATGCAATTATAATATATAATGGGCTACATCTATTTCACTTTGCTCTCATTAAGATCTTTCTGCTGTGGATGTTCCACAAGTAAAAGAAAATGTATTTTGTTAATCTTTTTTACAATCAGAATCATCAAACAGTTCTTCCCAAGAGAGAATCACTATCAAAACTATGAAATGCTTTATGAACTTTGGCCAGCAGAAGTCAGCTTGCTCTGATTCCAGTTTGAAACGTGAATCTCTTCAATTAACCTTGACTCTGCCCTTTCTGTAAAGGATAGCAGATACAAACTTTCAGTCCTAATTTGTGAATTAAGTGTTTTGAAGCCCTTTTAAAAGGGAAATTCTACCAAGACAGACAGAAGTTGAAGGAAGAAAACTCAGAATCTAATAAAGGTAATAGAGATATAGAATAAAAGATGGTATTTTCTGTGGAGTAATGCATATTTTCCTAAAGATGTTGGAACAGAATTCTCTGGGGCAGGTTTATCTATTTTAAGTATTTGCATTGACTTCTTTCCTTTAGAAGTTAATATGTTTATATTAAATTTTGTCATGTTAATCCCTGAAATGGAAGAGGCAATATTATCCTCATGGTTAGAGAAAGAACAAAGGTCTTGACTTACCCAAGGTCAAAGAATAAATTTGTGAAATGTGACTTGTAGCATTTCAGCTGTTAAATCGTTCTGCCTTAGCACAAGCTGCAGCATATGGCAGTGAATCTGTATGGTAGGTTTTTGCAAGTGAAAGAACAGAGGAAACTCTTGGGAGAGTTGGAAGACTGATACTGAGGCAATCACATTTTGTGGAACATGCAGGATTTTTTTATTCTCTTCATGAATTAAATTTAGAATGCCGGATATAGTTCAGCACTTGTCACACATAAATCAGTATATTGAGAAATATGCTTTTATTGCTCTCTTGCCTTTTAACTTATGGGAATCTGTGTTTTATGGGAAATCTTGACACTGTGTATGGGGTTTCCACGTAGTCCTTCTCTACTAGGAAGGTAAGGGAATGCTGGGAAAATAATATGCACGTTTATTTGTATTCTGTTTTTCTTTATAGCGCAAAGCTTAAGTAATTCATTCATATAGTAAATGTTGTCATTTCTCATTTTGCTCTGTTTGAATATTCAGTAATTATTCTCTGTGATGCATGTGACCATATTGAGATTTTGTTCAAGAGACACTGAAATGAGCACCACAAGGGGGAAAGCTACTATTTTTGTTTTGTTACCATTTTGCTTAGGCCGCATGCACAATGCTGTTCTTCATATTTGAAATACCATTCAAAGATATTTAAATGCATTCAGAAAATACATAATATAACTAGAGGATCCAGTGATTATGGCTGGTAATGATATTGTGGATTTAGGTGCTAACAAAGCATAATATAATCTGTTTTAATTACCTTTTTAATTTTTTCTTCATTAACATGCTTATAAACATACGTGCTCGTTTCTCAAGGACCTTGTACCAGTGTTCTTCCTTTTATAATAAGGACACAAAGAAGAGGCAAGTTTCAGCTTATTTACACAACAAAACTACTGAATCTTGCAGAAATAACAATCATGAGAAAAAAGTGTTTGCCCCACACTTTTTAATCCTCTAGTTTATGCTTCAGTGGGTCTTTCAACAATTCATAAAGCAGACAGAGGACAGCCTTTAAGAGTAAATTTTAAAAACCAAGACATTAAAAAAAAACCCAAAACCCTAATACCTGGAATATGGCATGTAGGTTTTTTTTAGTAACAGAAAGATGAAATTTGACTGTGATGTGAGTGCTGGAAGAAAATTTTTTTTCCATGGGTCACCAGTAGTCATTTTGTGTGGTAGTGTTTCATAATGGTAGCAAAAGAGATACGCTTAGAACAAGGAGCACCTGAGGGATGAGAAGGTTCCATTCAGTGGCA